AGTTGTCATTGTTGTTCAGCTGGCTCAGGCCAGGTTCAAACCCGCCACCCTTGCTTCATGTGGCTGGTGCCGTAACCACTGTGCTACAGGCGCCAAGCTTAGTTTTTGTATTTTTAGTGAGACAGGCTCACACTCTTGCCCAGGCTGGTCTTGAACTCCTGAGCTTGAGAAATCCACTTGCCTTGGCCTCCCAGAATGCTAGGATTACAGGCATGAGCCACTTCACCCAGCCTGAACCGAAACTTTAAATCAGATGTTTGGACAGTCAAAAATGGTTTTTATTTATTTTATTAATTTTCTTTTCTTTTTTTCTTTTGAGACAAGAGTCTTACTTGGTTGCCCAGGCTAGAGTGCCATGGTGTCAGCCTAGCTCACAGCAACCTTAAGTTCCTGGGTTCAAGTGATCCTTCTGCCTCAGCCTCCCAAGTAGCTGAGACTACAGATGGTCACAATGACACCTGGCTAATTTTTCTATTTTTATTTAGAGACAGGGTCTTGCTCTTGCTCAGGCTGGTTCCGAACTCCAGATGTCAAGTAATCCTCCTGCTTCAGCCTCCCAGAGTGCTAAGATTACAGGTGTGAGACACCCTGCCCAGCCTCAAAAATGGTTTTTAAAAGTATACCCAAACAAACCAAATCTACATCAGCGATTATTAAACTTAGTTTTAGTAGTTATTATTAAGAATTCCTAACAAGAAAGGACTAAAGCATATATGAGATTTTAAAAATTACAACAATTTAAAAAACATTTAAAATTTTAAATGAAAATTATTTATGACCAAATTTGTTTTAAAAGTTTGAGCATCAGAATATCTTAATTTTTGGCTATTCAGAAATATATTTTGTGAAGAATAAGAATTATTTCATAAATATATACATGTATAAATATAAATATATATCTACAGGATCTGAGATGCTAGTGAAAACACTGTAAAGAAAAAACCTGCCCTTTTAGCTTATTAGGATGTTGTCAAACATAGCCTTCAAGTGAAACATTATTACCAATCCAGTTGCTTTTGGCACAAGTGTTTAGGTGAATATTGACACAATCTTAAAAACACAATGCTTTTATATTTTATTCACTGGAATATAGAATCAAACAGAATTTAGAATTCTGACCGAAAATCTCAGGTAACTGTAACTGCTTAATTAAATACAAAAAATATTGTTTTAAAAAGACCTTAAACCTGCCTTTGCATTGGAACATGTAACATTTTATCAGCAATAGGTTTTCTCCAATTACTTCAACAAGAATTCCCAGCCTCCACACCAAAGTAATTTCACCCTTTTCTATCCATGTATGACCTGGATCACACTCCAGTATATAAAGACAAAAAATAAATGTATAATAGAAAGATGGGATAAATCAGAAGAGGCTTTTTGGTCTTGAATTCTTCACCCACTAACAATGAAGCAGCACTGTAGGCAGCCCAAAACACACCAAACAGCTTAAAAGGAAAAAGAAGACAAAAATTAGCAGATTAGAAAATCAATTAACTTTTGTATATCATACAGCAAACATAATGCTTATAACATTTTTTTAAGTTAACCACCAATTGTGGTAAAATATATTAAGAATGTTAAAAACTTAATAAACATGTTCATCTTTGCTTTGTTACCTGACTTCTGTAAATCTGGTCTTTTCTTATCAAACTGGTCTAATCATAAGAATTAGCTATGGTTCTGCTGAATTAGAATTTCTAAGGTGGCTCGGCGCTCATAGCTCAGTGGTTACGGCGTCAGCCACATACACCCAGGCTGGTGGGTTTGAACCCAGCCAGGGCCTGATAAACAATGACAACTGCAACAAAAAATAGCCGGGGGTTGTGGCAGGCGCCTGTAGTCTCAGCTACTTGGGAGGCTTAGGCAAGAGAATCACTTAAGCCCAAAAGCTTGAGGTTTCTGTGAACTGTGACTCGATGCCACAGCACTCTACCGAGGGGGGAAAAATACAGTATATATATAAAATTTCTAAGGGAAGGATCTTATCTTATTAGTCTTTTATTTATTTTAATTTTTAATTTGCTTGGTTCACCACACCCAGCCAAGCCTGATTAGTATTATAGAAATTTAATGTTAGGGCCAGGTGTGGTGGATTGCTCGAGCTCATGAGTTCTAGACCAACCTGAGTAAGAGCAAGACCCCATATCTTAACAAAAAAAAATAGCTGGATGTTGTGGCGGGTGCCTGTAGTCCTAGCTACTTGGGAGGCTGAGGCAAGAGGACCACTTGAACCCAGGAGTTTGAGGTTACTGGGAGCTATGACACCACAGTACTCTACCCAGGATGACAAGGTAAGACTCTGTCTCTAAAAAAAACAAAATTAATGTTAAATAAAATTAGGGCTTATAGGCTGGGTGTGGTGCCTCATGCCTGTAATCCTAGCACTCTCGGAGGGAGAGGTGGGAAGATCACTTGAGGTCAGGACTTGGAGACCAGCCTGGGCAACACAATGAGACCCTGTCTCTACAAAATAGAAAAATGTTTTTAAATTAGCCTGGCATGGTGACACATGCCTATTGTCCCAGCTACTTAGGACACTGAGGCAGGAGGACTGCTTGAACCCAAAAAGTTGCAATGAGTTATGATGATAACACTGCATTCAAGCCCAAGAAGCAGAGCAAGACCTTGTCTCACAAAAAAAAAGGGTGGCACCTATGGCTCAGTGGTGGGCAGGGTGCTGGACCCATATACCGAGGGTGGTGGGTTCAAACCCAGCTGGGCCAAACTGCAACAAAAAAATAGCCAGGCGCTGTGGTGGGTGTCTATAATCCCAGCTACTCGGAGGCTGTGGCAAGGGAATCACCTAAGCCCAGGAGTTGGAGGTTGCTGTGAGCTGTGTGATATCATGGCACTCTAGTATGGGCGATAAAGTGAAACTGTCTCTACACGCACACACAAAAATCGAATGACATATTTTTCAAAAAACCCTGGATTGAAATAAGAAAAGTTACAATAGCTTATTATTCTAGAAAAAAATTTGGCAAAGAAAAAATTTTAAGTTTAAAAACAATTTTATCAGCTTGGTGCCTAAAGCTCAGCAGCTAAGGCACCAGCCACATACACTGGAGCTGGCAAGTTCTAACCCAGCCCAGGCCTGCCAAACAACAATGACAACTACAACAACAATGACACCAAGGACAACAAATAGCCAGGTGTTGTGGGGGGCACCTGTAGTCCCAGCTACTTGGGAGGCTGAGGCAAGAGAATTGCTTAAGCCTACAAATTTGAGGTTGCTGTGAGCTGTGACACCACAGCACTCTACTGAGGGCGACATAGTGAGACTGTCTCAAACAAACAACAAACAAAAACAACTTTATCCTAAATTTTTAATGACATAAAAAAGATTTTTCCATTTTATAATACATCCAGATGTTGCATAAAGCATATTAAGGACAACTTTCAGTTGAACTAGATGGCTAAAAATGACCAGAGAACAATAGTTTTGACCACTTTGGAAGTAGTCTCAGAAATATTCAAACAAGCTTAATTCAAGTAAAACAATACATAGCAGAAAGTAATCCTAAATGAGTGGTATGTATGTTAACTAAGGCTAGAATAATTACATGCCAGCATGAGGGTAGCTGCTGCATTGGAAGACTTTTAATCTAAGTTCTAATAATGTCAATTTTTTTTTTGGTTGTTGAGATAGAGTCCCATTATGTCGCCCTCAGTAGAGTGCCATGGCATACTCATAGCAACCTCGAAGTCTTGGGCTTAAGTGATTTTCTTGCCTCAGTCTCCCAAGTAGCTGGGACTACAGGCGCCCCCCACTAAGCCCAGCTATTTTTTTTTTTCTGTTGTTGTTGTAGTTGTCATTGTTGTTTAGCAGGCCAGCCTTATTTGAACCCACATAAAATTGTATGTGGCCAGCACCCTAACCACTTAGCACAGGTGCCAAGGCAATGTCAATTTTTTTTAAAAACCGAATTTTTACGGTTAGGATGTACTGCAAAGCAGGATCTTCTCCTATGTCTCTAAAGATTCAAACAGTTCAAAACAATAAAGATGGTCTCAAAATATTCTTTCTAATATCTGTAATAATAACAGCTACAACTTAAGTACCTACTTCGTGTCAAGCACTGTACTAGGTATCATGTATACATTAAAATCTTCATAGTGAAACTTAAAATATAGCTCTTAAAGTTATCACTGTAAAGAACAGATTGAAGGTAAGAAAAGTTAGGATACCTTTGGAAGACCAGACAGCAAGTAAATCACAGAATCAGGGTTTGAATTCAGATTGATTGGTTCTTTCAATATGTAGTACTCATAAATCAGTATTAGCTTATAGTTACCAAATTTTCTTTTATATTGAATTTAGTAATGAACATTAAGTAAATCAAATCTCATGAAAATTAGGTGGCGCCAGCTACTTACAAACAAGTACTTTAGTGTGGAGGCTACATAATAGCAGTTCTATTTTCCATAAAGAAAAAAATTTACAGTCATTGTGCAATATGCATATATATACTAAAGCAGTCATTTATTTTCCATAGTTGTTCAACATTAATAAATGCAAATTTTAAGTTATGTTAGTATTTAATATTTAATATTATCAGTAAATGTTTAAAATGTATTCAAATGTTTGTTTTTCTTTTTTGAGACAGAGTCTGACTTTGTCACCCTCAGTAGAGCACTATGGTGTCACAGAGCACAGCAACTTCAAATTCTTGGGCTCAAGTGATTCTGTTGGCTCAGTCTCTCCAGTAGCTGGGACTACAGGGCCTGCCACAATGCCTGGCTATTTTTGGAGATGGGGTCTGGCTCTGGCTCAGACTGATCTCTCAAACTCTCGTGAGCTCAAGCAATCTACCTGCCTTGGCCTCCCAGAGTGTTAGGATTATAGGTGTGAACCACTGCACCTGGCCTTCAAATGTTTATTTCTTTAAATATATGTATCAGAATAAAGAAGTCCTAATCTCTGCATTATAGAAAATATAATTTATTAGAATCATGCCTATCATATTTGATAATGAAGTCAAATAGGAGTAACACTTATTAAATAAATGTCCAGTGGAATTTTAAATAAACACCCCCCCTCAAAATCTAAGTCAGATGAACCCATAAATATAGAGAAGAAAAATTCGACATTAAAAAAGTTCTGACTATGATATCCTGAAACTTGATTTGCTCTATTTTTCCCCCTAGAAATACTTCATAATTTCTGGTGATTAAAAAGGAAAAAAATAAAAGAAATAAAATTGGTAATATTGGGCTGGGTGCAGTGGCATACGCCTGTAATCCTAGCACTCTGGGAGGCCCAGGAGGGTTCCAGAGCAGCCTGAGCTGAGAGTGAGATTCCATTTCTAAAAATAGCCAAGTGTTATGGCGGGCGCCTGTAATCTCAGCTACTTGTAAGGCTGAGGCAAAAGAATCGCTTAAGCCCAAGAGTTTGAGGTTGCTGTGAGCTATGACTCCACAGCACTCTACCAAGGGTGACAAAGTGAGACTGTCTCAAACAAACAAACAAACAAACAAAAAAACAATTGGAAGTATCAGTAAGGAAGATTACTGTTTCCAAATACTACCAACTGTTTTGAGAAACAGTTTTACGTTACAACATTCTTCGCCAGAGAACTAGTATACTTTTGCTATAAGAAAAGAGTGAACTACTTTATATATGTTAAACTTACTTTGATAAGTGTGGACACCACTTCAAATGATCCAACCACCAAAAGTATAGGGGCTATTACAATGAGAGGAAGTAATGAATATCCTATAACTCCAAGAACTTGGCCATATGCAACCTGTGAAGTTTGAAAAATTTAAATAAATATCATAAAAATCAAATGCTCATTTTAGCCACCTTTGACCATCATATATTCTTTGCTGTATTTATATAAATGTGATAATTGAAAATAAATCATAAAGTATCATTCTCATTATATTTCAAATTATCATACAGTCCCTGATGTTTCTGTGCAGTCTCCCCAACCACCACAGTTTTGATTATCACCAGTTTGATGATGTTACACAAATCTGTATTTCTAGCATTTATCTCTCTGAGCTGCAGACTCGTATGTCTAATTAACTTCAGTGTATCTCTGCATTACATTTTGCCACGACTTCTTTTAAATTGTAGAAGGATTAAAGGAACCACAACCATCCTATTCAGATGAAAAACCCAAGGTCTAGAGAAGCCAGATGTGACAAATGCAGACCAGAAAAGAAGGGAAGGCAGCCAGGAGAGACTGAAGAGAAAAATATTTTTTCGTGACTACCTTGTGCCAAACTTTGTGATAGGGTTTCACTTGCTATGAAGATCAAATGAAGTAACCTCCCTACAAAGTAGGCACTATTGTGTCCATCACAAGGAAACTGATTCTTAGATAAAGTGTTTTGCTCAGGAAAGCAGAGCTGGTAGGTAGTAGTTTAAATTAACATAAACTTGTGGCTCAAGTGGCTAAGGCGCCAGCCACATACACCTGGGCTGGTGGGTTCAAATCCAGCCTGGGCCACCAAACAACAATGATGGCTACAAGAAGATCTAGATCCCTCTTGAATCAATTTTTGTAAGTGGTGAGAGGTGCATGTCCAATTTCAGTCTTTTACATGTGATTATCCAGTCCTCCCAACACCATTTATTGAATAGGGATTCTTTTCCCCAGTGTATATTCTTGTTTGGTTTATCAAAGATCAGGCAGCTGTAAGATGTTAGTTTATTTGGTTCCTAATGTCAATGTCTCTATTTTTGTGCCAATATCATGCTGATTTGATCACTATGGCCTAAAGCATGAAACAATAAAAATCCTCGAAGAAAGTGTGGGGAAACCACTTTTAAGATATCGGCCTTGGGGGGAGAGGGCAGCACCTATGGCTCAAAGGAGTAGGGCACTGGCCCCATATGCCGGAGGTAGCAGGTTCAAACCCAGCCCTGGCCAAAAACTGAAAAACAAAAACAAAAACAAAAACTGTTTAGGGTGGTGCCTGTGGCTCAAAGGAGTACGGTGCAGGCCCCATATGCCGGAGGTGGCGGGTTCAAACCCAGCCCCAGCCAAAAACTGAAAAAAAAAAAAAAAGATTTAATGAAGAAGACTTCTATGGCAATTGCAACAACAACAAAAATAAACAAATGGACTTAATGAAACAGAAAAGTTTCTGTACAGCTAGGGAAACAACAACCAAAGCAAATAGACAACCTTCAGAGTGGGAAAAGATATTTGCATGTTATTAATCAGACAAAAGCTTGATAACTAAGATCTACAAAGAACATGAAGTAATCAACAAAAACAAAGATCCAACAATCCCAGATATCACTGGGCAAGAGACATGAATATAACCTTCTCTAACGAAGACAGATGAATGGTTAACAAACATATGAAAAACCGCTCATTGTCCCAAATCATCAGAGAAAGGCAAATCAAAACTACCCTGAGATATCACCTAATACTAGTGAGAATGGCCCACATCACAAAGTCTCAAAGCTGCAGATGCTGGCAGGGATGTGGAGAGAAGGGAATACTTTTACACTGATGGTGGGACTGCAAACTAACACAACCTTTTTGGAAGGAAGTATGGAGAATCCTCAGAGAACTCAAATTAGACCTTCCATTTGATCCTGCAATCCCATTAGTAGGCATCTACCCAGAAGAAAAAAATCCTTTTATCATGAGGACATTTGCACTAGACTGTTTATCGCAGCTCAACTTATAATTGCCAAAATGTGGAAACAGCCTAAATGTCCACCAACCCAGGAACGAATAAACAAACTGTGGTATATGGATACCATGGAATACTACTCAGCCATTAAAAAAGATGGAGACTTTATATCTTTTATATAAACCTGGATGAAGGTAGAACATATTCTTCTTAGTAAAGCATCACAAGAATGGAGAAGCAAGAATCCAATCTACTCAATTCTAATATGAAGGCAGCAGATGAGCTAATACAAGGGGGTGGGCAGGGGAATGAAGGAGTGGAGAGGAGGAAGGTGGGTCATGGTATATGCCACACCTCTTGGGGGCAATGCACAATTATAAGAAGGACTTTAACCTAATCAGTGTAACCTAATTTTTTGGACCCTCAATGAATCCCAAACACTAAAAAAAAAAAAACTAGCCCCTTCTTTTAAAAAAAATTTTTTTTTAATTTTTATTTATTTATTTATTTTGCAGTTTTGGCGAAGGCTGGGTTCGAACCTGTCATCCCCAGTATATGGGGCCAGTGCCCTACTTCTTAAGCTCACAGCAATCTCCAACTCCCAGGTTTAGGCGATTCTCTTGCCTCAGCCTCCCAAGTAGCTAGGACCACAGGTGCACGCCACAATGCCCAGCTATTTTTTGTTG